AAACTCTTGAGAACCGCTAAAGAACTTCCTTTACCTCCACTTAAGTCAACGCGTTTTGCATTCAATTCATTGAATCCCAAAACAAGCGACAAATCATTTTTCACTGATTTATACGTTTTGTTTGGTTCTGAAATTTGTGTCTCATTTTCTTCTAACACATAACACATGCCTTAAAATTAAAAATAATAATCAAAATAAAAATTAATAAATTATAAAACAATTAACTCTTTAGAAAACTTACCCTCAAATCCATTAACGGATAGGTTTTGTGCGAAACTATTCTTCAATTCTGTAATTTTAAAATCATATTCTTTTTCGCCAAACATTACTTTAAAAGCTTTGTTTGGATTTTGTTTAATATCATTAAAATCTAATTTATTTAACGATGTTTTGAGCAGTTTATGAAAGCGTCCCCTTTTGTTGAACAAAAATCCATAACGATATTCAAATTGACTGCTATTCTCTACAAAACCCAATTCAAAGCCAATTCCTGTATAATGTTTATAATAATTATAATTTGTTTAGTTTTTATAAATTAATGTGTAATAATTTCATTACCTTTCTTAGTATAGCCACAGATTCGGGTAATTTTCCGATTTAATGGTTCACTACTTATCGCATACTTTTTACTAATAGATCCCCAGAAGTATATCTGTCTCTCCTCTTCCTTATCTTCTTTGAAAGTGCCTTTCATTTGACCGAATTGTTGGAATCGGTCTTCAAATGCATTGTTTTGTTTCACATATTTTGGAGATAATGTAAACTCTTTGGCAACAAAATAATCGTCAAAATCGTGTGTATAATCATAAACTCTAGACATTGCAGACCATAAAAATCTAAAATTTACGTAAACTAATTGTTTGCCATTTTTTGTGAGATATCCCCTAAACTTAATCCTTTTTCGTCTAAACGGGGAACTAATCTCTAAGCCGAGTCCACACACTCTGTATTCATTGCTCCGGTACTCGACCTCCGAGTCCTCCTCTAATGTATAGCTATTACTGTTGTTGTCATCAAATCTCAAACTAATGGTTGCATTGATCTTATCGTTCACTCCTTTTGGTCTCCATTTGATTGCAATATAAATGCTTTGTTTCGATGAATTCACGCCATATATCAACAAATCCTCACATTTTGCCTATTAATTCAATTGCAAATTATACAAGAATATTATTAAATATTAATAAGCAACCGGTTCTCACACTATAACCAGGCAATAAAATAAGAATTATTTTATTACATGATAATCACATTAACACTAAACAACTAATTATTAATATGCAGTTATCATCAGATTTTATAGCTGTTATCTCATACGATATCCAAAGCCTTTGATGCATTGTAAGTTAAAATTTTTACCTATAAACTAACACTTTAGTACATAACTTAGTATTGCATAATATTGTGGTTATTGCATAAGCAATACATTCAGGTGTTTACGAGTAATACCCGTCGAGTATTAGTATTTATCATGAACATAATTATTAATATATGCAATACATACATGTGTTAATTCATAATAAAAACCACAAATATAAAAACTCAAACAATCCATATATACCTGTGACGGCAGATCATAGTCCCACTCGTGAGGGAACGGCAATATCCCGGCGTCTCGTATACTATCGTTCCAGACGTCGTGTCTAACAATACGATTACTTTTCTGACCCCTTCTTTGCCACAATAATTGTATCAAAACATTGAAATACTTAAACAATTGCCAATTGATTTCATTACAAAGTTTAATAAACTTGTTGATGCCTAATATAAGCGGTACCGCTATTATGGTACCCATTATAATAGCATATAATTTTATATGTAATTTAAATATACAGCACTTTAACACAGTCTTACATATACTGATCAAATTACTATAAATCTGTGTGACTTTTATACAAATAATATCATATTTAAAATATTTTTAATCAAAATAAAACACTACAACAGATTGTAGTCATAAAAAGATAATGAATGAGAGAGCAAACGATGTGAGTGAGAGAAAGAGAGAGTTGGCAGAGAGTAGGCTTTAATCATAGGCTGGGAATGATTATAATAACGCTGTTGTCCTTCAATATATCGGATACAATAAATATTTAAAAGATTTAAAATACTAATCAAGAAAGTGGTCGGCCTTCACATAAAACCTCATACAATCCATTCATAGAGATATTAGTGCAAAACAATCT